CCCCGACCGCTCGGTGATGGAGTATGTCTTCTTGTTCTACCCAACTGTTTATTATCATTCCCCTGTCCTTCACTCTCCTCACGGAGCTGTTTTACGAAAACTTGGTCGCACAAAAATGCACATGTTGGCGAAACTAACATATCATAATAATATTTCTAGTATGAAAAATTTCATCTGCTTTCTACATAGTGAATTATGGTTTTGATGATCTTCTAATCTTAGGGTTTCTCCTTTAGTATCTCTTTAAATAGGGATAAGAGAATTGAGTGTGTTAACCTTAGATTAGGGACCATAACCCCATATATATAGGCGTTGTATATTTATAATTTGACCCTTCATCAAATTATAATTACAACCTGGTATCTACACATTTAACCCATGATTTATTTAAATACCCATTAACCCAAATTGATTGATCACTTTATACGGGTTATCCTTAAGGATAGCAATACACATTGATAAACATATGTGCCCATAAATTAGATTTAATTAGATTTAAATCCAACAATCTCTCACTTGGGCACCATATGTTTCCTTAAAGTGTGTATAACCTTATGAGCTCAAAAATTGCTATCACTGAAAAGGGTATTTCCAAACAATCTTATCCATTGAGTATATCAATATAGGATCAAAGCGGTCTTCGTCACATTTATCGTAACTAAACCCATCAATGGTCACATATACCAAAACAATCAAATGACATAGATCAATCATGGATGTGCAGCATGAAAATTACATGCAATGTGATCAGTACATATTTATTTTCAACTGGTCCTGTCTTAAACTTTAGTGAGGTCAACCTCAACATAATGTACCAGAGTGTATGAACTGAAAAACTTTATTCTGATCAGACAATACAACCTAACATAAAGCATTACAATCACTAACTCCCACTAAATCATGATATTCTCAAACAATACCACACCCATATGAACAATGTGCTCATGAAAGACCTTAGGTGGCAATCCTTTAGTAAGAGAATCAGCTATCATGGAATTTGTCCCAATGTGCTCTATGGATATCTGTCTACTCTGTACCCTTTCTTTCACAACTAGGAACTTAATGTCAATATGTTTTGACTTAGTTGAGCTCTTGTTGTTATTGGAATACATTATTGTAGATTTATCATCATAATATAATCTTAGTTGTCTTTCCATTTTTTCCAGAATGCGTAGTCCTATGATAAAATTTCATAGCCATATTCTCTAATTGGATGCCTTATAGCAAGATACAAATTTTGGTGTCATAGTGAAGGAAGCTACAAGTGTCTGTTTGACACTTTTTCATGATATAGCTTCTCCTGCTAACATATAAATGTAGCCTGATGTAGACTTTTTGCTATCTTGGCATCCAGAAAAAACAGAATCAGAATACTCAATGACCTCCAACTGTTATGATTTTCTGTATGTGAGCATATAATCTTTTATTTTTTTAATATACCTCATAACCTTTTTGACTGCTTTCTAATGATCCATACCAGGGTTGCTTAAGTATCTGCCTAACATCCCAACAATGTATGTAATATCCGGATGCGTACACACCTGAGCATACATTAGACTTCCTACACCCGAACCATAAGGAATCTTCTGTATTTTCTGAATTTTAAGGTTGTCTTTAGGGCACTGATTAAGACTGAACTTGTATCCTTTAGCAACAGGGGTGTCTCCTGATCCGCATGCATGCCAAACCTTTTAAGTACTTTATCGATATAGCTCTTTTATGATAATCCAAGTATACATTGAGAACGATCTCGATGTATCTGGATTCCTAATATAAAAGAGGCGTCCCTAAGATCTTTCATCTTAAAATTCTTTGATAGCAATCTCTTAGTTTCGTGCAACATGCCTATATCATTAGTGACAAGTAATATGTCATCGACATACAGAACCATAAAAATAAACTTACTCCCATTGTTCTTGTGATATACACATTCATCAATAATGTTCATCTCAAAACCGAACGAGATAATTATTTGTTAAAACTTATAATACCATTGACGAGCGAGATAATTATTTGTTAAAACTTATAATACCATTGACGAGGAGCTTGCTTGAGTCCATAGATGGATTTTCTTAATTTGTATTTGTTAAAACTTATAATACCATTGACGAGGAGCTTGCTTGAGTCCATAGATGGATTTTCTTAATTTACAAATCATATTCTTCGGGTCTCCTGACACAAAGTTTTCTAGTTGCACCATATAAATCATCTCATCAATGTCGCTATTGAGAAATGCAGTCTTAACATCCATCTGATGTAACTCAAGATCAAAATGAGCAACAAGTGTTATTATTGTTCTAAAAGAGTCTTTCGATGAAACCGGTGAGAAAGTCTCTATATAATCAATGCATTCCTTTTGAGTAAAGCCTTTAGCTACAAGACGTCGCTTATACCTCTCCACATTGTGGTTTGCATCCCGCTTGGTTTTGAAAATCCATTTACAACCAATTGGTTTTGCACCTTCTGGCAATGAGACAAGTTCCTAAACCTTATTATCTTGCATAGACTTATACTCTTTATTCATAGCATCCATCCACTATTAAGAGTTATAACTTTTCATGACCATCTAACATCACTCATGAACAATCTACACAAGAGAGGTCACTTTAGCAACATCTTGTTTCAATTAATCATTTGGAATGAGAGACAAAGTTTAATACATTAGTGTCATATTATTTGAATTAAATAATTAATTAGCTACCAAATTTAATTCAAATTAAATAATTTTAATTCAAATTAACTAAATTTTCATAGCTTAATTAGGGCCCCATAACTTAATTTAATTAAATTAAGCATACCAAAGATGAATCATAACGTAATAAGGTCTTAACTCAATTAATTATTTGAATAATCCAGGCCCAACACATAATAAACTGCAGGCCCAGAAATCAAATGAAATTAACTGAGAATTCAAGCAATCCTTATCTCAACCAGGCCAAAATTAAACATGGCCAAGCAATCTTTATCTCAACCAGGCCCAAATTAAACATGGCCCTTCATCTTCTTGAATTATTTGAACAATTCAAATAACCCACAACTTTAATTAAAAGGCCCATAAAACTTGATGGGCTTCGGCCTGAACTAGAGCTAGCTTTTGAAGCTCGCATGAATGTTCCCAACCGCAAGCCAAATCATCATCTTGCCCAAAATTCAAAGCTCAGCCGAATCCCGTCAAAAAATCCCAAATCCAAGCTCGTAGAACTCTCATTCAAAATCGAGATTCAACCTGAAAGCTTGCATGAGAACGAGCACGAGGCTCGTCGGATTCAAAGCCGAAGCTCGACCAAATCGAAGCTCCCCACAGCGAACATGAAGCTCACTCGACTTAAGATACGAAGGTTGAACTCGCCTACAATGAGCGTCGACTACGCCTGAGTTGAGCCGAAGCTCGCTTGAGTCGAACACGAGGTTCGACTGAGACCGAATACAAGGTTCGACTGAACTTCGAACCGAAGTTCGACTGAACTTCAAACCGAAGTTCGACTGAAGCTTCAAACACGAGGTTTGACTGGAGTTTCAAACACGAGGTTCGTCTGAAGTTCGAACACGAGGTTCAACTGAAGTTCAAATACGAGGTTCGTCAGAAGCAAACCGAAGTTCGCTGGAATAGAACCGAAGTTCGTTAGAAGCCTTCAACAAAGCTAAATCGAACACTAGGTTCGTCAGAAGCAAACCGAAGTTCGCTGAATCAAACAGAAGTTCGCCTGAAGTTCGAACCTCGATCAAATACCTCAGGTAAGCCCTCAAGCCCTAATTTCTTTCACCCCTTAAGGTTTTTTCTTGAACTGCCGCCGCCACTTATGCTCCCGCATTCTAGGGTTGAAATCCTAGGGTTCCTAATATTGTCGTCACTATCTTCATTTGACAGTGGGGCCACTGTCGATACATCGCCGGCGAGGAGCTTTGGAGAATAACGACAACCAAAAAAATATTTTTTTTGTCGATTTTGAACTCTATCCAGATCCGAAACTTGATATGTTGTACACTTTTGATCTAAATCTGAATCCATTTCAGATCCAAACATCCCGAAAAAAAATTAAACTACAAAAAAATGACCTTTACAGTTCATGAATGCAACAGATCCAAAAATCGAAAGAAAAAACCAAACAAAAAAAATGAACTTTTACTGTTCATCCGTGAACAGTTCTGAAAAATCCACAGATTAAGATAAAAAAACCTAATTTTAAATCTTAAACCCCTAAAAAATAATCACGGTGGCTTTAATACCACTTGTTGTATTTAATCGTGATTAGATCATAGAGATTAAACATCAATAAGAGCGGAAGCTATATCTGAATCCATTACTTAGATCTGAATTAGGTTTTTGATGATCTTCTAATCTTAGGGTTTCTCTTTTAGTATCTCTTTAGATGAGGATAAGAGAATTGAGTGTGTTAACCCTAGATTAGGGACCATAACCTCATATATATAGGTGTTGTACATTTATAATTTGGTCCCTCATCAAATTATAATTACAACATGGTTTCTGCACATTTAACCCATGATTTATTTAAATACCCATTAACCCAAATTGATTGATCACTTTATGCGGGTTATCCTTAAGGATAACAATACACACTGATAAAGATATGTGCCCACAAATTAGATTTAATTAGATTTAAATCCAACAGCATTATCCACATCTTCAGGTCATTTTACTTCTCCACTTAAAATATTTTGGTCCGTTTCCTTCTGCCTAAATGATAGCTGATGATATTATACTCCATACACACACCAGATTCTTACCTCATGAAAATATTAATCGGTATTATGGGGCACCTTTTCTTACTATTCAGGTGGTTAACTTTTCTAATTATTATTCTATTTTGTTGCATTATATGTGGAATTACTCAAGGACTTGCTGATTTTATTTTACGTGTGTTCGTATGAACTCTTACCTCTTATACACTTTTGATCATAGGGTCCAAATGGACGCAAAATTTAACCAGCATGTGGAAGTTTCAAATCTCTTACCTGAGAGTACTAATAAAGATTACGTGGATTTGTCTGAGAAGGATAATACTTCATCAAGCTCTAACCGTTGAGATGATGACTCAAAGCATTTCAGTATGTCGTATCATAGGACGAACCATAGTAGTATATATAGAGGATGTAATAAGTGGGGAAACACATGTAACTCATCCTGGGTATACTTATACGGTTAATTCATGTTCATCACAGGATGTAATTAAGAGGGGGTATTTCCTCAAATATTCAAACCAATGATCTCACCTATAATGCGCGTTATAATGGGCAATCGAGTGATTTAGAACCAGTAGTAGTTCCATTCACTTCTTCTACTGATAACATAGAGAGTGATGTAGCTAACATAGAGAGTGATGTAGCTAACTTGAGAACACATGAGGAGTATAGAACTGGGTATATATGCTGCTTTTGAAGTTGATCATGAGAAGCATCATTCACGCTCTTCTAGCAATCATTCAGCTTCTAGTACTGGAGATATACCTTGTCCTGCTGGTACTTATGCAAGTACATCTGACATCAACCTCCAAACAGAAGCATCTAGAGTGCCATCACCTTCAAAACTACTCTCCAAAGTTGTTAGTAAGCAAGAAAGTATCAAGAGACATCACATAAGCTGCAAAATTGGTGCATCAAAAAGCCATGTTGTTCAAGGGGTTCCCAGGGACAGTTCCTCTGGTTTCCTTGGCGTGGAGGTGGATGCTAGTTCAGCCGCAGCAGCTTCTGCTGCTGCTATGAAAGAGGCAATGGAGCAAGCTCAAGCTAGATTAAAGAGTGCAAAGGAATTAATAGAGAGAATCAGTGAAGGTTTCCTGAAGATCGACGACAGCCCTTCAAATTGTGGCGAAGGCGTTTCCTGAAGATCGATTTTGGGGAAGATGAGAAAGCAAGGAAGCGTGAGATTTTGTGGAATAAATTAGGGAAGGCAGGAGAAATATGGGGAGATTTGCTATTTTACATCTAGGTCCCTCATTTCTTATAAATTTAACCCTTCGAAAATCTGTTATTTCTATAAATGAGGGTCCATCGAATAAGAACTTGACACATGGCGACGGTGTAGGAAATTTCCTACGCTACCAGCTCACCTCCCATTCTCTCTCTCTCTCTCTCTCTCTCTCTCTCTCTCATGTGTGTGTAACCGATATGGTAAGATGGCCATTCTACACTGTTAGATTCAAATTAATGGTACACACACACACACACAAGCGATATGGTGAGATGTCGAGATAGTTTGCTTAACGTGAGATGGTCATTCTACACCGTTAGATTCAAATTAATGGTTAGATTTAAACTAATGGTTAATTAATTAAAGATATATGGCCCCCACATTTATTTAATATCCCTGCCAAATCTTCTCTAACCCTAACCCTAAACCAAACCCGAACCCTAACCCAAACCTGAGCCCGAATCTACCAACCTAGCCCTAACTGGAACCCTAACCCGAACCCTAACTCGAACCCTAACCCGAACCCGAACACGAACTCAAACCCACAAACCCTAACCCTATCTAAAGCCCTAACCTGATCCCGAACCACAACCCAACCCAAAACCAAACCTTAAAACTAACCCTAATCCGAACCCGAACCCACTAACCCTAACCCTAACCTGAACCCGAAGCCAGACCCTAACCCTTTCCCTAATCCTAATCCGAAACCAAATAAGAAAGAGAGGAAGCGGAAGAGAGGATATGGGAAATTTTAGAGAAGATTTAACAGAGAAATCAAATAAATATGGGGCCACACATCTTTAATTAATTAATCTATTAGTTCAAATCTAACCATTTTTTTGAATCTAATGTTGTAGAATGGTCATCTCATATTAAGCAAATCATCTCACATTATCGCTTATACACACACATACATATACGTATATATAGTCTCTCCCTTATAAAAAGAGCGAAGGGAAAACTTTCTGTTTTTAAAATGCCCTTCAATTTTTATTAAAATCACTAACTTACCTAGCCCAATTTCTTTTATATATTATTATTTTATTTTTCACATTCTCTTGAATTGTGAATTAATTTCGCCTTTCTCTTCATTATTACTTTCAATTTCAATATCAACTTCTCTTTCCTTTCCCCTCCTATCAATTCCTATGAATTTATTACAATTGCAACCCTAACACAAATTGCAGGGGGGGGCGGGGGGGGGGATGAAGAAATAGACATCTAGTGCACGAAACGATATTCACTGCTCTCCTCACTCCCCTCTCATCCGCCGTTGTGAAAAAATCGTCCCTCAACAAAACCCCATCGGGCCTCAGCATCGCGTATGCCATATTAATATCTGCCCACGTCGAATGAAATTCGTGCCTAGCATCGACCTCAATCAAGACCATGTACACCCCCACTCGCACATCGCAGCCAATGTCGACCCTGTAGAGAACGACATCAACATAACTCTCTCCGCCTCCCCCGCAGATAAAATGATCAACATGAATTAGTGCAGTAAGAGAGAGTCTCCTTGGTGAGATTGGGGGATGTCGCGGTTGAATTTGGTTTGGAATGATGGCCAGGCCCAGAAGTATTCGAGGTAGAGGATGGTGGTGTCGAGGAGAGATAGGTTGCGGGTGAGGGAGGCCATGTGGAGGACAGAGGCACCGAGGATGCTAGAGTAGTGTTATATGCTCTTGTACATCCAATACATTTTTATGTAATATTTTTGAATATTAGTTAAGTGTTACTGTTGCACATATTGTTTGAGTATCTTTTAATATAATTGTTATATTATCCTTAGAAATTGTTTACTTTAGATGATGCATTGTGATGATCACTTTCTTAGAGATAGATCTAATTCAGATGTTTCTTAAATTTGTAGTTAAAATTATTAATTTGATTGTTAAATTTGATTAATTATTGGTTCTTAAATTTGGAGATAGAGACTTGATTGTTAAATTAAAATTATTAATTTGATTAATTATTGGTTCTTCATATGGGGCTCAATTGGTCTTACTGATGTAATTAAAAGAGGTTTACATATAACAGAATTCTATTTTTATTTTAATTGTTATGGAAAAAATATTCTATCTTTAATTGTTATGGAAAGAATGTTCAATGTTTAAATGCAATGGAAAGAGTTTTAAACAATTAAGAATTATTTTGAAATTTAAATCTATAATGCAAGTCCAATCCTATATATAGGGTTCAGTTACAACAATAAATCACCAAATGTTGAAACCACCTTCTTGGGCCTACACATGTCTCGTTCCTCATATAATCAAATATGATCAAAGTCCAAACAACGTGAGTAGGTTCTGTAGCCAACCCGTTAGGCCGATAACTTGCTTGACTGACTAAAAATGTGGTGCTTATCGACCTACCCACCAGATCGACCTTATAAGTACTCACACTTAGCCTACCACTTCAGGTTGATAACTTGTGTGGTCGATAACCTGCGTGGTTAATAACTTGCATTAAATGCTCTAACAAAGTCATTATTGCTATAGCCCCTATAGTCTTATGATCATCAAACCCAGTCATCTCCAAATACCTACTGTCATCCCCACATTAAATACCTGGATGACTTACCCTCTTTAGCGACCGATACATGTAAGGTATCTGCTGACTCAGCTGCATATTAGGACTAGGCTAGAGTTACCTTTTTGCCTTTTCAATCTGCTATAAAAGGAAGCTATGTTGCATGGGGTAAGCTATCTGGTTTTGGCCATGCAACTCTGAACCCCTTTTCACTTTATATTTCCCCCCCTTAAGATTAATTACCGACTTGATCGTCGGAGGACCAACCAAAGAACCTAACCTCGTCCTCTCATGAGCTTTTTATGGGCAGGACACGATATCAGGCTCAAGAATCAGTCATTCAAAGAAGCTTGAGGCCCCTGATACAACTTTAATCCACATATAAGCCTCCTATTTGGTAATTGACATCAATAATTTGGTGCTCATTATGGGCCCCATCACTCTTATTCGTGCAAGATGTCTAGTTCTGAACGCCCAGGTCAGTCCGTCAACTCACTTCCTGAAGAACTGTGTGTGGGCTTTATTACTTAGGCCTAGTTGGAAGAATATACTCATAGGATCTCCCAGTCTTTTCAGTAGCAATTCACGACATTCACCAATAAGCTCATCAATCGTATTCATTCTCAACAACCCTCTTCATCAGTTGCTCCTCCGCCTTTGATACGCCAACCCTCGCCTGTTCCTCCATCCTCGACAGGTCATCCACTCATCCCTCCTCTGCCTAGGTATGCCACACAAGCCAAATAGCAAGGGGACTACATCGAATACGCCCCCCTTGCGGCAACAAACTCGCTTTGCAGCTCCTCTCCGACACTATTAATAGGCTCATATGTAGCCTTATGAAAAAAATTTAAGAAATAAAGAAATAAAAAATTGAGAACCTATAGTGCTCCCTAGTAACACGTACATAAACTCCTACATAGTAGCCTCTGTTTGTGTGAGATTCTTTACCTGTGTCGGGATGCATTATCCATGGACCACCGAGCAACGTTCCTAAGTCAGAAACGAAGAAGTCTTAAAGTTAATGTTTTGACGAGGAAACAAGAACCAAAGTAAGTGTCTTAGCAAGGTATGATCAAGTCTAAGCTCGAACTCAAGGAAACACCAAAAGACTCTGAGAATGTTCTGGAGTGGATGAAGAACTCTCTCCTGCTCTCAAAGTTCACCAAATGCCAGTTTGGTACCTTGCACAAGTGTGTCGGAGGGTATTTATAGCAGTGGGGAGCCATAACCGTCGAATAGAAGGCAAAAGACTTGATGACCACTATCTCATGTGTGCGAGACAATGTTTACTGTCTCACCTAAAGGAGACAGTGCCAGGGACTTTGTAACCGTCGTTCCACTACTTGAAGTGTGTTAAATGCCACACTTTTCGTGGGTAGTAGGCTTGCTTTCAGGGTGAAACTTCCCATTAACATTAATGAGTGTCCCTAAGCAATTATGAAACGAAGTAGACCCCACAAAACCTCACAAAACAGTCAGAAAACTTGGGAGGCTGTCTCACAATTGGTGAGATAACCATCACTGTCTCGCATACGTGAGACAGTGGAGATTGTCTCACCAACGATGAGACAACTCTAAGTCTTTTTTTGGTTTGACGTTTTGTGTTCTCCTTTGCTTCTCTTTGTGTTGGAGGGTCTTCTCTGACTTTGATGATGATATGGTGAGATAACCATCACTGTCTCGCATATGTGAGACAGTGGAGATTGTCTCACCAACGATGAGACAACTCTAAGTCTTTTTTTGGTTTGACGTTTTGTGTTCTCCTTTGCTTCTCTTTGTGTTGGAGGGTCTTCTCTAACTTTGATGATGATATTCTTCATATTCTCTCTGACTTGAGCTAAGTTTAGGACCTATAGGTAATTTTTGATGCCTATAATGCCTAGCTCGATGATGGTTCGGGGATAGACGACTGAGATGAGGTCAGAGAAGATGCGGTTGCGAAAGCCCTAGCCGCGGAGCTTGCTCCAGACATGAAGCAGATGGAGGAGGTTTCTTTGCAACATATTGTTGAGGGAAGAAGCAAGATTCGATTTGTGGAACATGAATCAATTTTTAAATTTGTCATCGTAATAATTTATATATCGATTTCAATAATTCACTTAGTTAAGAGGCGCTGATATTTCAATTGTTTGCACTCGTTTGGTAGGTGTTAGGATAAAACCCTTTATCCAAAGCACAAATGTGTAATACCAGATGGCTAACTTCTCCTAATATAGAAGATGTTTGGGACGACTTATTTTTTGGTCAGACAACTTTTAAGCTATCTTTTTTATTTCTACATGATTGGTAAAATATAAAATAAGTTAGCTTATAAGTCACGTTTTAAAAAGCTAGTATACCTCAACTTTTGAAAAACTAACTTATAAGCTCACCTAAATATGTTAAATTTGACCAAATAAATTACTATACTACCCAAATAATTGTTATAATATTCTTATCATAAAATGCAAAAGCCATTAAAAGTTGGCAAAACATATAAAGTTTTAAACAATAAGCTTTCCCAAATACCTTCATAGTCAGTATTTATGTGAAACTATAATCGAAATAAGATCTCTTAGATAGATTATCTGGTCCATCTAATTGACACGACGACCACGACCGTCATGCATGGGCATATGCATATTGTTGATTAGGGAAGCAATTGCAACTTCACAATGTCAAAACTAGATGCTATATTTTTCTATACTTGCAATTTGTCCCCCTTAGTTTTAAATTTTTTCCAGATCCACCTATGCAAACATGAATGCACTCTCCACAATAAGAGAGGCTGGATGACATTGATCTATCACAAGTAGATAACTGTCGCATTTTTGACTTGTCTTGTCACATCTATTTGATGAGTATGAGAAGCGAGAAAACAAACATGCCTAACAAGAAAATACAATAGATGAGAAATATAATAAAATAGGCTAAATAGTTTCACTCTTTTAGCACTTGTATATCTTCAATTACATTTCGTAGTATTTATATATCCTAAGTTGTTTAAAATTTGCATATTAATACCCTCTGTTTTATAAACATAAATATTTTTATTTAAAAGGTCTCGTATAACATTCATATCTTAATTTTAGAGATTTTTAATAATTAATATTTATTAAATTACTTTAATTCTATCCAAATTCTAATTTAAATGTATCCTGTCTTTGTTTTAAAAATAGAATTTGGAAAATTTTAACAATGAATTCAACAAACTTAACAATAGAAAATTATAAAATTGCCATATGAATGTTATATGAGAATTTTCGAATAAAATTTTTAAGTTACCAAAATAGAGAATATTAATGTGCTAATTTTGAACAACACAAGTATATAAAGTTTGCGAATTACAAGTGTTGGTAAGTGCTAAGAGAATGAAACTGTGAGGTATTTAAGTGCTATTTAGCAAATACTGGTTTTGCGAATAACTATTGTGACAGGGGGTCGGCTTGTAATTTTCCTCAATCCCATAAACCCTACTCTCCCCACCTTTGCTAACCCTCTACCAAAAAATCCACCGTGCTCGGCGGCAATGGGGAAGAGAATGAGACGCGGCGGCCGATCGCCAGCGTCATCCTACTCCGTCCTCAACCGCGAGGAACTCCGCGATCACATCGTCGCCGCGAAGCTCGACTCCTCCTTCGACGTCACCGCCGTCGTCAATCACCTCCGCTCCGATTATCCCCACTACTCCCGCATTAAGGTCCAGCCTTTCACACGCCTCGTCCAGGAAACCCTAGATTTCCTTCACCAAACCCAAAAATCATCTTCCTCCAATGACGACGATGAGGTCAACCGAAGCACTAAATGTAGGAACCCTAACCCTAGGAGGACCGATGAGTCGGAGAGGAGATTGCTTCGCGCTGAGGCTGAGCATGTACGGAAACAGAAGCGCAAGATCCACCAAGCTGATCCATCTGATGCCTCGACGCGCTGAGGCTGAGCATGTACGGAAACAGAAGCGCAAGATCCACCAAGCTGATCCATCTGATGCCTCGACGGCAGGCTCGACCTCGACCTATGAATCTGATGACGACGATGCCATATTCGAGGCGAAGGTCGATCCAGAATTTGACCTAATGAAGTCCATGCTGAGGGATAACTATGGCAAGAAGTCAAAACCGCAGAAAGAGGATGAAAACCTAGAAATTGAAGCTTCTGCTGGGAAGAAGAGGATGGTTATAGGTGAAAATTTAGCAAAGGTGGAGTCTTCGATGAAGGGAGGGGTAATAAGAAGGGAAGGAACTAGGTTTGAGGATCTTGGCGGGATGAAGGATGTTTTGGACGAGTTGCAGATGGAGGTGCTCGTGCCGCTTGTTCATCCGGAGCTGTTGAAGAGACTAGGAGTCCGTCCGGTTGCCGGAATTTTGCTGCACGGGCCGCCAGGTTGTGGGAAGACGAGGCTTGCGGAGGCCATTGCAAATGAGGCTGGTGTCCCCTTTCAGAAAATCTCTGCTCCTGAATTCATTTCGGGTGTCTCTGGTAAGCTCAATTTCATCTATTTTTTCTCTTCTTCTTAAGAATGCATCTAACTTGAAGGGGTCATGTTGTGATTCACTTGAAAATGATGGGGAAAGTTCATTTATATTAGGCTAAATTGTACTGAAATGCTCTAAAATTCACCGACATGCTTAAGTGACCCTTGTTTTAAAACTGAGCAGAAAAAGGCCCCAAAGTATTTAAGTATTGTAGATGAAGGCCTCATAGTTTTAAAAAATCCAGACGGTGTTAACTTTTCTCTGTGTATCCAAGACTATCACATTGTGAAACTTTTAGATACTTCAGTGTATCCAAGTGAGGCCATTTACAATCTAAGAGTATTTATATGCAATACTGGCTAAACAAGAGGGCACCAGCGTGTATGTCTCCTTATCGGTTGATATATTTTCATGAAAGATATACTTTGAATAGGCTAAACTATCATGCACGGATACACCTTTCAAATGATATTATAAAGCTATAAATCTGTTCTATAACAACATCACACATAAAGAGGATATAAGCATTGCAATAGAACAAACCAGATTTAAAAGATGAGGGTTTGAGTTTTCCAAAGCCTAATTATACCGGTTCTAACACTGAAATCATGTCAAAACAAGCATAATATAGACTTTGTTAATTGGATCCATATAGAAGTACCTTTCGATGATCAAAATACTAGCAAGATGATAGGTTTCATAAGGGTTTTTATATGAAAGGGGGTAAATTACAAATATAGAAATTACACTAATTGCATACTTTATTGACTCTAACTGCTAGAGTAAACTGCAGATTATGTGAAATGGAAATAACTGGGATCTCGGGAAACCTCGAGAGCCCTAAAGAACTTACAAACTTGGAGGGGCCTGATGCGGCAAAACTCCAACTCTTGAAAGCAAATCTAAGCTAAAAAGGATCTAATAGAAAATTTTTTAGAATGTAGGGGGCTAGGAATAATTTCCCTCCCTCTTTGTTCCTCTCTTTGTGCGTTGTTCTTCGTAAACAATCAAAAGTCGGGGCTTTATATATGCAACAAATAACAATCCTCACAAATGAAGGAAAGAGAGGGAGAGAGGAGGGAGTGGAACATGTGGCAGCCATCTGACGGTGGGCTGCCACGTGCACCACCGAGCGGGTGGGCGACGCTCCTCCACGCCTCTATTTTCGCACAAAGATCGTGGTCCCTGATCTTTAGGCTACCACCTTAGTGGGGGTTGAGCTGGCGGGAAGCGGGCGTGGCAGCGAGCTCAAGTGGAGGGCGCGACAACAGTGATGGTGGCATAGCAAGCAAGCGGGCTTTAAGGATGGCAATGAGTTCGCCGTGGAGCAAGGAGCACGATGGCGATGTTTTTGTCGCCGTCAAAGGTGTTTAGCGACAGTAATGTGCTACATGTGCAACGACAGAGGTGGCAAGCAGCAGGTGGTGACATAGAGCTCAAATGAACTTGTCATGACTTGAAAATGGTGATAGTGATGGCGGATGCCATGAGGGCCTTGTTGCTGGCTGTTGTGACAACATGGGAGGCCTCGTCAACGAGGGTCTTGGATGGTGATGAGCTCAAGAGGGCTTGCCATTGACTTCGATCGATCGACAGTGAGCTTTAGGGCTCGATTGATGTCAAGGAGGTGGTAAAGGGCCTTGTTGATGATGGCAGCACATTGACGACGAGTGTTTGAGGCTCGATTGACGACAACGCCGAAGGTGGAGTTTGAGGAGAGCTCGAACGACGATGATATGTCGACAGCAAGTGTTGAAGGCTTGATTGACAACGATGGTGATGAAACATCTATAGCGTTTTAAGGCTACATTGCAAGCGATGAGGGTACATCAATGAACTTGTTGTGCGGAGTTCATTGCTCGGCGACGATGTTGGTGAGGGTCGATAGCGTTGACAGGCTATGATAGTGATGGCAAGCCCTGTGAGGGGCGAAGTAGCGATGATGACGGTGTTTGAATGACCATGACAATGATGACATTATCCAAACGACACGTTCGAACGTCGATAGTTTCAGTGACGAGACTACGGGATAGCGTATAATGCTCCATGTACTATAGTTTGTATATGTTGATGACGTATAATTCTCCTTAGCTTTTTCACGTGTTTACAGTGCAACATCGGGTAAACAAGGGCGCACCAACGTGCAACATTTTGAAACTTTGGGGCATTTATTCAGTAGTTAAAGGATATTTATTTGCTCGGTTTTAAAATAGGGGTCACTTAAGTGCAAGGTTAGTGAAACTTGAGGGCATTTAAGTGCAATTTAGCCTTTATATTATTGGTTAACCCTATTTGGTTTAGCATATAAAAGTTCCAAAAACAGTCTCTTAGTTACCAAGTTTCTCGGCACATATTCTTATTGCCTTTGAAGGAGAAACCTTCATCTAAAGATAAGGAGTAAAAGGTCCAATTTATCAATTTTATAAAGTAGGACGCATGGCATATACATACTATTACTTCGTAGTCCCATATTTTTAGAGGAGAAAAGGCTTTCTTCTATTTGTTTACATAGTATGTTAATATCAATGTTATGATTTGAATAGATGCCTAGTGGAGTAGGCTGCCTGCTAGAGTGGGTGAATGCAAAGCACAGTCTCCTCCTATTTTCAATTAGCTTCAGGGAATAGTCATTCATATTATCAGTTAACCCAGTTTTGATTACCACATGAAGATTCCAAAACAGTGCTATAGTATCGAAGGACCTTGGCACAAATTCCTCTTGGCCCGACGGAGAAAATCTGTGCTAAGAGAAAGGAAAGTAAAATGTTCAACAGATCAAAGTGGTATAATGCCCAAGGACCTTGCAAGTTGAAGTTTTAGAAATATGCAATTTGCCATATAGGTTTGACAGAATGATGTGGAAGCAAACCATGTGTAACTGGGACAGAAGCAACACTGTGGAAGGAGACATTGGGCTTAACTGATACATGAAACTTGTCGAATAAACATTTTCGGTAGCAGTTGATCACAGTTGTAAAACTGCTCGGTTGTCTTAATGTTAAGAACAACCCCTGGAAACTGGACCGTTGCTTAATTTGGTGAGATAAAAGCATCACAATTAGAATTAAATATAAATAGCATTTTGACTTCATGATCGAAAAATTTTTGTGTTAAAATTCTATAAACAGAACATTTAACTGGTATTCCTTTTACATCAATATTTATATATATTTGCCATCTTCTAGAAAACTAAAGCTTGATTTATTTTAAATTAAGTGCCTTCTCATGATTATTATTTACAGTTTTATGGTCAGTAGCATGCTATAAGTTTGCTCATGATTATTGTAGGTGCTTCTGAAGAAACTATAAGAGACCGTTTCAAAGAGGCATACAGAACTGCTCCATCAATCATATTCATTGATGAGATAGATGCAATTGCTTCCAAGCGAGAAAACCTGCAAAGGGAGATGGAACGGCGGATAGTAACACAGCTTATGACTTGCATGGATGAATCACATCACACTCAGTCATGTGATGATTCCCAGACAGAAACATCTGAGAAGAAGCCTGGTTATGTTCTTGTAATCGGAGCAACAAACAGACCAGATGCACTTGACCAAGCTTTGAGGAGACCTGGACGGTTTGATCGTGAGATTTCTCTGGGTGTACCTGATGAAAATGCACGGCTAGAGATCCTGTCAGTTCTTACTCGGAAATGCAATCTTGAGGGTGAATTCAATCTTATGAAGATAGCAAGGGCTACTCCAGGTTTTGTGGGAGCTGATTTGAACGCACTGGTGAACAAAGCTGGCAATCTGGCAATGAGAAGAATAATGGAGAAGAGGAAATCTGGATTTCAAGAGGGAAAAACAGATGACTGGTTGCGGCAACCATTGTCCCCTGAAGAACTAGCGAGCATTAATGTTACAATGTCTGATTTTGAGGTATTGTGATCACACATCAATCTATTGTTTGTTTTCCATTGCCAAATGTCTTTTCAATATGCCATTGTGATCTGTTATATGTTCATGATGAAAGCAGCAATATTTGTGCATTTTATAACTGTTACTTAGTTGTTTGTGGAGCCATTAATGCAACAATATACAGTTAGTGTCAGAAAGATACGGTTAGAGATTAGCCTCTTGGCTCTGTAAATGCTAAAAAAAATATTGTTGCAGGTAGTTGTGTTGTGATTTATTTTAACTCTTTCACATTTGTAAAGAGCAAGACAATCTAATTTATTGTGTCAGAAAGTTAATATCGAAGGTACACCATGTGAGATATGCCAAAATTATGGTGTGTGAATACCTGCTTGAGCCAGGAATTGCTTGTCCATCTATGGGCAAAAGCATAACCGTTGTTAAGCCATTTTTAGGCCTATACTCTTTCCATGTAGTACCTAGGAGTGTTGCCGCAACTGACTTGGATCTTAGAAAATTATTTTTATACTTCTGTGGGATACTATGAGATGTCAGGAGCAAAAACTTGCAACATGTATAATATGGCTTCAGATGATCTTTGTTGATGGTGAAACTATAGCATGTGAGATAGTAGGAATTGAGACGAATAGATTACTATTGAGAATCTCTGGTCAATTATGTTACTAGTTTTTGTGGATTATATACGCCATGCATGATGCCAGATTTATTACACTCTCTGGTCAATTATGTTACTAGTTTTTGTGGATTATATACGCCATGCATGATGCCAGATTTATTACACTGTGCTGTATTGAAGTTGTGAAGCACTGTTGTAACTTGGATATGTTTTAACAAGTTAGCAACTGAAAAAATGCCTTGAGAATATATAATTATCCTGGCCTCCTGGGACTTCTGATTTAAAGCATTTATACTGGCAGCATTTGCAGCCACATATCTGTATCTAACATAGTTTGGCTTTGATTATCTAGTTAGTTCTTCAAAAGCATTCTATGTCTCTGTTCATCTCATAATTAGTGATCACAGAATTTTCAAATCGAGCTGCCCTTTTACCAAGTTCACAAGTATATGTTTGAGAGCATTCCTTTCCCATGCATAAACAATATTTGGGGTTGATACTCTTGTTTTAATATCTTTTGCAGGAAGCCACTAAAATGGTTCAACCCTCTTTAAGACGTGAAGGATTTTCCTCAATACCTAACACCAAGTGGGAGGATGTTGGTGGTCTCAACTCTTTGAGGAAAGAGTTTGATCGCCATATTGTTCAACGCATAAAGAACCCTGAGGATTATGAGGTATTCTTCTTGATTGTTCTCGTGCATTTGCAGCATGAGTTAGGTGTTGCAGTTTGCGAGATAATGCCCTTCTTTGTCAGTCCAATCAATATATTTTTTATATTTTCAAGAATAGTCGGACATCTTTGATATTTAAAACAGCAATTCTTCAGTTACATTCTGTTGTTCTTTTATCAGTGGTGGTAGACGCTCAACAGGACTACAACTGGTTCTAAACATTAAAGTAAATTTTTACATTTCATGCTCTTGACATTTCATCTATTTTGCATGCCACTTTATTTTTTGCATGTTAGTGGCAAAGCAACTTTTGTTTCTCTAAAAAGAAGCAGTTTCATATTTTAACTGTTTGCTTAGTTAGTAACTGTTTGCTTAGTTAGGTAAACTTTGTGAGTTCTTTTCGATTGCTTTGTTCTCAGAAGTACATTTCTGTATCGTACGTATCAGCTTAGACCCTGGTTACCCACACGCGGAACATGGAAGCTGGTACACTGGAACTTCTCTGCTAAAATCTCAACCTTGCAAACGGGTAAAGTGATGGGAGTGGAAGCGAGAAGAAAACTAGAAGCAAGTGAAATACTGAAAGAGGAATGAATCTTTTTAAGCATTTAATTACAGGGGTTACATTCCTCAATGTCCAATATTTAGTAATGACTGAATCCTCCTTTACATTTACAAAATTGTATAATAGTAATCACTTGAAGATTTGGTAATCACTGAGCCTTTGGGAGTTAGTATCTGCTTGATGCTTACCTTTTAAGCTTATTTTTTATGGATATCTCATATATGTGTATGTAAGTGGCTGTGTTATATGAATGAAAATTGTGTGGCAACAAATATAGCATAATCATTTTTCATTTTTTCCTATGCCCATTCTTTATATCTTAAAAGTCTTATTCTTAGCTGGAGTAGTTACTAATTGTGTCGATTCCTATTCTTAAGGAACTTGGTTTGAACCTGGAGGTTGGCTTCTTGCTTCATGGACCTCCTGGTTGTGGTAAAACATTGATTGCCAAGGCTGTTGCAAATGAGGCAGGCGCCAATTTCATACACATCAAGGTTCAATCTACTTCTCATACTGTATTTTTGTAAGGCATGCTATTCTTCTTCAGTTTCAGATGACATTATTTCTATGGATGGTCTGAAGTCTATAATGCCTCTTGTTAACCTTTTATTACATGTCAAACCTCCCTGGATTATATTCAAAATCTGCAGGGTCCTGAACTTCTGAATAAATATGTTGGAGAAAGTGAGCTGGCAGTTAGAACAGTATTTAGCCGTGCTAGAACATGCTCCCCTTGCATACTTTTCTTTGATGAGGTACATGAACTTTATTCTTAGTTTGATTGCTTCGTACTTATTTGCAATCTTCTTGTCACTTTAAGCCTCAACAACTATGTAGTGAAGTTGTCTGTAGCTAGGCCGTTTACTCAACAATTATCTTAAATATGATGTATATTATATACCAACTAGTCATGCATGAGGTCATGGTGTAAGGCCTATTGGCTATTAGGCCTGATTCTCAGGAAATGTTGCTGATTTAGTTGGATAATGTAGTCCATATTATGGTGGTCCGTAAAGAATATAGGCATATGGCATATGGAACCTAATTAAAAGTTAGCAAATTTGCCTGTGTATATTCCTCAAATGGCATTGGAGGTGAATGCTTTGACAACTATACGAGGAAAAGATGATGTCTATCCTAGAAAGTCACTTAACCAAAATATGGCTTTAAATATCAAATTATTTAGCTAATAAATACAGAGATCAAGCAAATACATTATGCATAATGCATGTGCAGTAAAATTAGCTATGCGTCCAGCTTATGGTTCAACTAAATGCTTGTGGGCACTGAGCAATATGTCTAAATTCTAATTAGTTAAAAACATAAGTCAAATATTGGAGGAGTTTAACGTCTTTAGTAGCCACGTATACTGGAAATTATTAAAGCCTGACTACAATGCCTATTCCTAAAACAATATTTCAGGTGGATGCTTTGACAACTATGCGAGGAAAAGATGGAAACTTTGGGGATCGGCTCCTCAACCAGGTTAAATTGCAAAAACAGCTGATTTCTCATATACATTGTGCATTATAGTTCAAATGATCTTTTGTTTCATCTTCTCAATGATTTGTGCTTGTTGTTGAAGTCTAGGCATTTTATCACTTTTTCTGAATTCAGACGTTATAACTGCAGCTACTCATAGAGCTAGATGGTGCAGATCAGAGGAGAGGCGTCTATGTCATTGGAGCTACAAACAGGTGAGGAGTTTATTTTTGTTTTTATTTCCCGTCCATGTGTATAATTAAAAGTTTTGCTGCTGAGCTGTTATCTAAGATGCTAGATATTTATGACAGACTGGAGGTTATGGATCCTGCTGTCTTACGACCAGGGAGATTTGGTACAATTCTTTATGTTCCTTTACCTAGCATTGAAGAGCGTGGATTGATCCTCAAAGCACTTGCTCGTAAGAAGCCTGTTGCTATTGATGTGGATTTGGATGCGTTGGGACGTTGCGAGGCATGCCATAATTTCTCTGGTGCTGATCTTTCGGCCTTGGTGAGTCTTAACATCTCTGACTATTGTTTTTTCCTCAAGCATGTGATAACCTTCTTGCTGTTGACCTTCTCTGCTGTGATGAGGCTTAACTCTGCTAGTCCTAAATCTCATGTTGATGACTCGTAATTATTTCCCCTTGTTAGTTATGTGGTGACACCACTTTCTGGAAATCCTGGATCTGACATGGGTCGAGTTTGTTTTGGATATATCCAAGTTAAAAACTATGATTTAAAAGGGTGGTTTGAGTGTCTAGTTAAAAAATGAGCAGTTCCCGAATTATACTAAACAACATAACAAAAGAAACTTAAAAAATATGATAGAAATTTAAATTCAAATAGCACATGAATCGTAAAATAATAGTGATCTCCCGTACAAGTTTCCATGCAACTTAGTCTAAATCCCAGCAACTGCTCCTACGCAATTCTTAGTAGGGTCATCTTCATCAGCCAACTCCTCGGAGACCAGTGCAGGATTGTTCAGTAAATAGTCATCAATATGTAATACTAATTGTAAAACCTGTGAAGTGTCTGCTTATTGGTTCCTTTGATCTAGCAAATTGCTTCTTGATCCTCCTGTTTTTTACATCATGTGTGCAGATGTGTGAGAACATTTCAATCCTTCTTCTAAGCATTGCACTCATTCTTTTTTGTTGTCAATCTAACCTAGTTTGAAGCAAATCATAGAAAACATGAGAGCTCTTCTAACCTTGTCTTTCTTTTGTTTGCAAACTGAATCTATATCATGCAAACTGAATCTATATCATGAATAAGTCTCCTTAAACAAGATTACACCTAATAACTTCCCGATAATGCAGTCTTCTTCAACTGTGTTTTGTTGGTTCATCCTTTGTGTTTGATATGAGCTGTCACTTCAAGCATTGAAAAGTTTCTGTGAGCATCTCCAAATAGATGACCAATATGATAACTCATCATTTTTTACTGCATTCTTTTTAAGCACAGGTTCAGTACTAGTGGTGACAATTTCAAAGCTGCTGTCTCTAGGCTTTTTCTAGTAATCGTATTAGACTGCTACTTTCCTTTTATCTTTTCTTTAAACATATTATTCCTTTTGCACCTTAACAGATGAATGAAGCTGCCATGGCTGCTTTGGAAGAGAAACAAATGACTTTGGAGGACAGCAGTTCATTTACTAGACCGTTAGTAATTGAGACATCACATTTTGAGAAAGCTCTGGTGAAGGTTGGTCCGTCTGTTTCAGAAAAGGTAAGAAATGGTGATGGTTTATTGTATCATAGAAAATGTTGGACTACTTCAAATGTGCTTGCCGCTTCGTGATCTTGCTGAAGTGTGATATAAACTAGATGAGCTTTTGTAAAATTATATCTAGTTAGAAACTTGAAAAAGATCTGAGTTTACCTTAGGTAAATTTCACAAAAACCGCCGACTTTTGGGTAGTTCTGCA